TTTTTTTTTCTCAAGCCACACATACTGCCCTCTCTACGACAGCGTAAGGAAGAAAAAGAAGGCAGCCACAACAGTAATAAAGATTTTATTTGGCGGCCTGTCTTTTTCCTTCATCTGAGTCACTCAAAACGTCGAAAGCCTATTTGTCTACGTATTCTCATACTCTTTTTTTTCTAACTTCATTTTTAACATTTTTTTTTAAAGTGAAGGAGAATGAGTAGTTTATTATGAATATAGAAGGTAAACATATACTTTCAATTTTCCTCATTTTCCTTCATACATCTGTTGCATTTACCAACTCAAGTAGCATGAATGAATAAAGGCAAAGAAAAAATATCAAATAAACGACGCTCATTATTTGACTTGTCATAGTTAAATTTGCATATTAAAAAGGAATATATAGGTTAATATGTCTGCATTCTTTTCTTTTTGATTATTTTAGAATAGTGAGAATAATAATTCGCGAACAACACAGCAATCGACAACATCAAATCAAATGGCTGCTAATTTACAGCATCAAACGTCATTAAAAACTCCTGAAATTGATGAAGGTCTTTATTCTAGACAACTGTATGTTAATATTATTTTTTTTCTTCGAATTTAAAAAAATAAATACTTATCATTTTCTTTTTCTAGTTATGTTATGGGTAAAGAAGCTATGCATCAATTGGCTAGTGCTCATGTTCTTATATCAGGCATGCGTGGTCTTGGTGTTGAAATAGCTAAAAATATTATTCTTGGTGGTGTTAAATCTGTCATTATTCATGATTGTGGTAAAGTTGATTATGCAGATCTTTCATCCCAAGTAAGAAAAGATAAAATAATAATAATATATGTATAATTGTATATAATGTATATTTAGTATTATTTTTCGGAAGCCGATATTGGTCAAAATCGTGCTGAAGTTGCCAATAAAAAGTTATCGGAATTAAATAGTTATGTTAACGTATCATTTTCTTCTGCAGTTATTGATGAAACATTTCTCCAAGAAAATAAAGTCAATGTAAATTTTAGAAAATATTTAAAAGAATTGTTTTTTTCTAACAAGAAAATCTTCTAGGTTTTTGTTCTTACTGATGCTAAATTAAAAGATGAAGTAACAATAGGTAATCATTGTCATAGTCATGGAATAAAATATATTGTTGCCAATACAAAAGGTTTATTTGGGTAAGAAAAATTCAATTCAATTTACGATATATAATTATTATTTACAAATAGACAAATCTTTTGTGATTTTGGTCAAAATTTTGAAGTAATTGATACAAATGGAGAAAATCCTTTAACACAAATAGTTACTGAAATAAGTCATGTATGTATGAAATAAAATTATTCTTTATCTCCTATCTTTTAATCTTTGAAGTATATTATAATAGTATTATAGATTTACGAAATTGTTATGTTGTTTGCTCAGAGTACTTATAAATAAGGATGTATTGAAAAGCTTTGAATTATTTCTTGTTATATGAAAACAAATCTTTTAAGTCATCGAACTATTGTAATTACCAATCATTTCTGTAAATGTTGACTTAACGTGAAAGGATTCTATTACAATATGTCAATAGAAAAAATGAAATGCTAGTATTCAGTTAGATATTGAGACAGGCACATTTGTGGTCATGCATACATTCCAATAATTTCTTTTCTTATTAAATGCTTAAAATCATATTTGACAAATACGATAATATTCATCTTGTTCGACCATCCCACTAACATAACCCATCTATTAAAATAGTCGGACATATAATTAAATTGGTGATAGTAAATACCATCTCTACGTGCTAAAGAAAACGGCAATATAACATATTCAAATATCTATGATTTAATTATTTAGGATGAAGCAGGTGTCGTTTTTATGTCAACAGATACACGACATGGTTTTGAAGATGGTTCATATGTTACATTTCATGGTGTTAAAGGCATGACTGAAGTCAATGAAAAAGAATTTAAAATCGCTGTACCAAGTCCATTTACATTTACAATTGGAGATACAAGAAATTTTGGTGCTTATCAAGGTGGTGGAACAGTAACTGAAGTTAAAAAACCCGAAACTGTGCAGTTTGTAAGACTATACTTTTAATATAAAATTTCAATAATTAAGATTATTTTTTATGTGTATAGAAATCATTTTCTGAATCTTTAAAAGATCCTGAAATGTTAATTTGTGATTTTGCAAAAATGTCCATGCCTGCTAATCTTCATTTAGCATTTCAAGTTTTAGCTCAATTCGAAGAACAATATAATGCAGTACCGAAACCATGGGATGATTCTGATGCTGAGAAATTTTATGAATTAGTTGAAAAATTAAATAAAGATAATCGAGAACAACCATTAACAGACGAATTAAATAAACATTGGATTAAATTATTTGCTAAAACATGTACTGGTGATTTATGTCCAATGCAAGCTGTTCTTGGTGGTATTGCTGCTCAAGAAGCAATGAAAGCAGTAACTGGAAAATTTATGCCAATTAGACAATTTTTTTATTTTGATGCAATTGAATGTTTACCTGAAAATGTTTTTCAATCATCGAATGAATCAATTCCAGTACCAAAATTACCAACAAAAAAAAGTCGATACTATTCTCAAGAAATTGTTTTTGGTGAAGATTTTCAGGAAAATTTGGGCAAAGCAATTTATTTCGTGGTTGGTTCCGGTGCAATTGGTTGTGAAATGTTAAAAAATTTTGCTATGATGGGTATTGGTTGTGGAAATGGCGGTCATATCTATGTAACAGATATGGATTCAATTGAAAAATCCAATTTAAATCGACAATTTCTTTTTCGTTCATGGGATATTGGAGTAAGTACTTCTTTTTTTCTTATTTGTAAATGATAATTTAATAAATGTAAATTTTTTGTTATAATAGAAAATGAAATCTAAAGTAGCAAGTGAAGCTGTTAAAGTAATGAATCCTAATATGCATATACGTGCATATGTTGATGGAGTTTTACCTGAAACTGAACATATTTATGATGATCATTTTTTTGAAAGATTAGATGGTGTTGTTAATGCACTTGATAATGTTAAAGCTCGTAAGTATCGTGTTTTTTTAAATAGAGTTAATGAAGAATAAACGGATAATCATTTAGCTTTTAAAGAACATTTAAAATTGAGAAATTGTTATTATCGTCTTCTTTCTATATTTTAAGGTCAATATGTTGATCGTCGCTGTGTCTACTATCAAAAACCATTAGTCGATAGTGGTACATTAGGTACTAAAGCAAGTGTTCAAGTTGTTGTTCCATTTCTAACTGAATCCTATTCATCAACTAATGATCCACCTGATCCATCAGTACCTATGTGTACTTTACGTAATTTTCCCAATTTAATTGAACATACAATTGAATGGGCACGCGATAATTTTGCTGGTCATTTTACAATTCCTGCCCAACAAGCTGAAGAATTTATACGTCAACCAAAAGAATTTGCCGAACGAACAGCTAAAAATCATTCAGAATATGATAAAAATGAAACAATCGATAATGTTAAACGTATTCTTGGTGCAGATCGTCCAAAGAATTTTTCTGATTGCATCAAATGGTCACGTACTCTTTTCGAACAACAATTTTTTAATACAATCGCCCAATTACTTTATAATTTTCCACGTGATCATGTTACAAGTAAAGGTGAACGTTTCTGGAGTGGAAATAAACGTTGTCCACATGTATTAAAATTCGATGTTAAAAATACAACTCATCTAGATTTTATTGTTGCTGCATCGAATTTACTTGCACACATGTATCAAATTCCTCAATCACGTGATCGTCAAGCAATTTCTGAAGAAGTTGCAAAGATTTATATACCTGAATTTCAACCTAAAGCAGGTGTAACCATTCATGAAAATGATGAACAATTACGAGCTGATAATGAAAGACAAACGCATATGCGTAAAAATGGTCAAGGTGTAACTGAATCAGAAGCTGAACAACTTCTTGGACGTTTACCTAAACAAAATGATATCGCTGGTATTAAAGTTCAACCACATGAATTTGAAAAAGATGATGATTCAAATTTTCATATGGATTATATTGCAGCAACAGCTAATTTACGAGCTGAAAATTATGAAATTCAAACAGCTGATCGAAGTAAAATAAAACGAATTGCAGGAAATATTATTCCAGCTATTGCAACAACTACAGCTATGGTTACAGGACTTGTTTGTCTTGAAGTTTATAAATTTATTCAAAAACATAAAAATATTGAATCGTATCGAAATGCATTTGTTAATTTGGCTTTACCATTTTTTGGATTTTCTGAACCCGTACCACCAAAACGTCAAAAAGTAAATATTTTGTCTTTTTGAAATTATTTAATTGACTTTTTTTTCTTTTCATTATAGTATCTTGACAAAGATTTTACTTTATGGGATCGATTTGAAGTGAAAGGTGACATGACATTAGAAGAGCTTATTGAACATTTTAAGGTAAACAGGAAAAAATAAAGTTATTTTTTTTTTCTTATTCTTTTTTATATAGCATGAACATAAGTTAGCACCAAATATGATTTCAGCAGGTATGTCCGTTATTTATAGTCCACATTTTATGCGTCAAACAAGTAAAGTACAAGATATGAAACGAAAGTATGTATTTATTTTTTCTAAAAAGAAAAGACAAACGAATAAAATCAATTCATTTTTATTTTAATAGAATTTCTGAATTATTCGAAACGGTGACGAAAACAAAGATTCCAGCTCATGTTCGTTCTCTTACACTAGATATGTTATGTGAAGATCTTGAAGGAAATGATGTTGAAGATGTTCCTTATATCAAGTATACATTTAGATGAGCACATTTAAACACGTTTTTAACAATAAGGACATAGATAAACTTCTATTCTTGATTAATCCTTTTTTCAAACATGTGTTATTCCTCTCTTTTCTCTCTTATTTGTCTACTGTGTCTTTGTGTGCGTGTGTGCTCATCTTTCTTTGTTCTGTTTTATTATTATTCCAGAGTGCTCTAAGTGAAAAATAAAGAGAACCAAAACTATTACTTATGATTACATTCTATTATCTATAAAAAAAACGAGAATGTGCAACTGGACATAATATTCTACAAAATCAATGAAAAAAGTTGAGAACAATTCAATCTCTTATGGATTTATTTTCCGGATATAAAATCTTCAATATACAGTATATTTTCTTTCTTCAGAAAGATTTTTTTTTCCATATATTCGATATGCATCATTATTTCTATTAAGTGTAATAATTTTGATTTTCAGCACTTAAGAAAACCTTCTCATTATGAAATAACTTGATTTTTATCTGTTGAAACCGAAACACATTTAGCCGTGAAAAATTATTTTGTTAATCAATTTCATACATATATTTAATCAATTAAAATTCTACATACATCAAATGATAGATGACATTAATCTACAGACACTACTATAACTAAAAATAATTTTTTTAAATATTTTCAATATCAAACATGTTATTGCAATTCAGTTTGTACTTATAATCATAATTACATCACTATCGTATAGCATTTCAAATAGTTCATGAATACAAATATTGTCAGCCTTACATAAACATAGCTGATTTTGATATAAAAAATCACTTTGAACAAGATAGCTTTTTGTACATGAGGTTAAACTTCACTCCTTTAACTAATGTATTTGGCTCATTTTTAAAAACTTGAATTACTTTATTAAAATCATTTTATGGTCAAAATATTGTTTTCTTTAGTTGAATTTTTTAAAGTTTTTACAACATAGCAACATTCCGCGGTGCTAAATAACAACAAAATATTTTTATACTGTCTTATCTTGAAATTCGAATAGACGAAGCAAAATAAATATATATATATAATAATTATAGTGTAATATTTTTCGACCTAGATAAATTGTTCTCTTTCTTTTTAAACCGTCTGTGTAAGACATCTTTCGACATTTTATATTATTCTCGTTTTTATTGCACGATCGCAATATATCAACGTGAGGAGAAGAAAAATATTATCCTACTTATTTTCTTTTAGAGTATTCAATGTGTACACAATTTTCTCTTTTCTCTTATCAATCTGTCAATCTATTATCGTTATTACGCTTATCCATTTTTTATAACGTTTAAGGTTAATGTACGATATTATTATTTTTCAACAATAATCACAAGTGTGTCACAATCTTTATTATGCCTTTAAATCTTCGACATATATTTGATCAAATACCAGTATTGTCACTTCGATATTATGCATTAATTAGTACTTCATTATTATTTGGTAATATTTTTTATTTTCATCATTTGATTCAATCAAATAATAACAATTCATCGATTATTAATAATTTCACACTGATAAATAATCAAACAATATTTTATTTTAATGCGAAACCATTTTCATTAAGTTATATTCAAACATTATTATCAATCATTATATCACAAACACTTTCACTTCTGGTAATATAGAAAAATATTTAATTAATTTTATTTTTATTGGATTATTTAGATACTTGTTAATGCTATCTATTGTCTGATAGCTTTATTTAGTAAACAATTACAAGTATTTATTTTTGGTGAATTACGTTTTGTAGAATTACAACGTATTAAAGATAAATTTTGGAATTATGCATTTTATAAATTTTGTTTTCTTTTTGGTGTACTTGGATTAGAAAATTTAAATGAACTTATTCTTTGGATATCATGGTTTTATATTTTAGCTGTTGCTCTACTTTTTTGTCAATTAACAAAAGATCGATTTGAATTGGTAAGTTTCAAATTCTACTAATGAAATATTTTCTTGCTACATATATCATAATGAGCATGTAAGAAGCAAAGATAATCGAAATTTTTTGTATATTAGCTTCGAATAGTATTTTGGTTTTATATGCAAAATAATTAAACTTTGAAAATATAAATCATTTACTAAAATGAATGTGGAAACTTCGGATTTTATCCGAGAGTTATGTGTACTGCAAAAAGTGTATATAGAAATCATAGCGAAATATCTGTATTTTTGTAATAACTCGGGAATGACTCGACCGAGATCTTGATGAGACAGTTCTGTGCACAGAATTTCAGCTCAACCGGACTATTCTTTCAAACGTTATCGTGCATACGGCCGGACGGCCACACCCACCGATTCTAGTAGTGTACTCACTTTTTGAGTACACAAAAAGCTTCTGCCTATAAAATATTGATTTTTGACAGAGCTGAACAAGTGCAAACTTTCTCGAGTTCGAGTGCGAGTACTAATAAGAGTACCGAACTCTGAATACTGATATGAGTACAGACCTGCGAGTTCGAGCACGAGTACTTTGCTCAGCTCTGATTGTTGAATTGATATTAAATTCTAAACTATAAGGACAAATTTTGCACATATGAATTTATCTGAATTTCACTCACTCTTAGAGACAAGAAATTAACCAATGAAGAAGATGATATAGTTCATTAATTTCTTTCTTGTTTATTTCATAGTTATCAATTTCAATATCGATTCCTCATCAATCATTCAAAAAAATATTTGGTTTACTTCTTTCATTGCTTTGCTTATGTTTTGGTTTATTTCTAATTTGTTTTTGTATTGGATTCAAATATGGTGGTTTATCAATATTTTTCTTTATGTTTGCTGAAACAATTTTATTAACACTTGATACATGTTATCTCTTATTTAAATTTATATTTAATCAACAACAACAGTCAAATGAATATCGTTCACATATTCTCTATTATGTCGAATTCTTATTTGATATGTTAACATTAACAATTGATATTTTCCATCATTTACAAATGTTATTCTATCATCAAACATTTATGTCAATGTCATCATTGATATTTTTTATGCAATTAAAACCATTATTTAATGAATTAACGCAACGTTTAAAACGACATAAATCATATCGTCTTGCAATGATACTCATGCAAAAAAAATATCCATTATTAACTAAATATGATCTTGAAGAAAAATTTCGTTTACAAAATCATACATCAACATTAGAAGAAGTATGTTCAATTTGTTGGGAAAAATTTGAAAAAGCTCGATGTTTACCATGTAAAAATATTAACAAAATTTAATAGAAAGAACGATTTTTAATCTTTTAATTTATTTAGGTGGACATTTATTTCATGAAAATTGTCTTCGAAGTTGGCTTGAACAAGATACAACGTGTCCAATTTGTCGAGTATCATTACATGATGATACAATTCATTCAACACAAAATTCTCGTCTTTGGCCATCATTAAATTTTCCACGTCAAGTAATTAATAATGAACAACGTGGTGGACGTAATCATTTATTTCGTTTTGATGGTAATCGTTATTCATCATGGTTACCTAGTTTTTCAATTGTAATCAATCATAATTTTCCATTTCGTCTTACACGTGCTCGTCTTACTGGTGTACAATTAACAAGTATGGCTCAAAGTGTTCAACAAATTTTTCCACAAATTCCATTTGAAATTATTCTTGCAAATTTACAACAAACACAATCAATTGATACAACAATTGAACATATTATTGAACAACGTATTCAATTTGAAGCACCACCACCAGAAGAAGAAGAAGAAGAAGAAGAAGGAATTGTAGGATCAGAAGAATCATCTTATACATCATCATCGGAAATTGATGAATCAAATGAAAGAAATACATTGTTAGTTTTGATTGATTGATTGATCTATTTTATTTAATTATTTAAATTTTTAGAATTAATCCAACAGAACCAGTAGTCGATGATAATGAAAATTTTACATGGCCATTAGATCCTAATATACCATTTGATAATCGAAAACAATTATTGATCTCATATATGCGACGGTAAGATTAGATATTTTAATAAAATCCTTTTTTCTATTGTGATTTTGTCTTCGTAGACGATATCTCGAACGAGAACATCGCCTTCAATTGTCATTGCAGAAGTCAGATCAATAAATTTGAAATTGTTTTTTTTTTGTTAATATATGTACTAATAGATAATGTTTTACTAACTAACATGTGTGCGAACTAATAAATCGATATTTTTTATAATATTAGCTATTTCTTCTGTTTATGTATATACCGAAAAAAAAACATTCCGTATTTGTTGCTATTACTTTTATTTATTTGTAATAAATATGAAATAAAAATTATGATAATTCGAAATATTATAATCTCGGTTTATGCAGTGCCATATGAACAAAAATGTTAAAAACAGATATATTCAGAAGAAATTAATTTTGAAAGTTACTTATGTTCTTGTATCATGCTCTATTACAAGATAATTTGAAAAAATCCATTCAAGAATAGTATTGAAATAGGTGTTATTTCACTAGCAGTTTGAAAAAAGATATACGCCGATCTATGATAATCTTGAGGGTGTTGGATTAGATGGCTTTGTTCTCATTGTCACATTCACACCCTCAAGATGGTTTTTATTTTCAGAATATACTACTATATATTATTTTGTTATAGAATGAAGTTTGAAAACAAGATCCTATAACTGCATTTACTTCATTAGCTGGACATCATGGTTAAGGTTGTGAATAACTTGAAAACACATGCAGCAAAGTTGTAATCGAATTGAAGCAATTCATGGTGAAACTGATAATCTTTTGATATATTCTATTAAAATATAATAAACTAAGACTTTTTATGAATATGAAATTCTTTTTCCTTTTTTTTAGCATTCACTAAGTCACTTTGTTACAGAAGAGCGAGCTGAGGATATTCGAGCAGTATTTTGTTTTTATTTTCAGAAATTTTATGTTGATTATTCAAATCTATTATTAGATAGACCAATTAAAAAATCCTCCAAGAAATCAATATTCGTCGACTTGTTCTTGAACGACACGAACGTAGTATTAATGACTTTTTTAGTGTTTGAAAATAACGAATGCCTCGTTTTCTTGGAAGTGTGGATGACAATGGGTGTGTGAAAACAAAGGATGAGTACATTTTTCGCTCAGCAAATAAAAAAGTATATGCTCTATGACGATGCTATATGAACATATCAATATAAACAAATCGTGATTACCTTTCGTGCTGCACGAACGAAAAAGTACACTCGGTGATGACGTTATGCATAGGCTCATATATGAGAACAAAAGATAATTACCTCTGTTTCTCTGAATAAAAGCCTAAGCCTGTTTTTCTTACTGTTATAAATAGACCAGTTTGCGTCACGTTTTCTGTGTATCAAAAAAAAAACTTATTTTTACTAAATGCCCTCTCGCTTAACGCTCGATGTATATATAGTCGAAGCATAATTGTACAATTACACCATTTACTTTTACTTACATACAAAACAAAAGCATTCAAAATATAATAGAATGATTAAACGCATAATTTCCATATTATTTACCATCTTAATGATCAACTGTCTGCTTGAAATAATGGTAACTGGAATGGATCTGTCTCGTACAAAGAGTTGTGCTGGTAATAATACACTTTGTATTCTTGATGCTGATGGTGTTGCTGCCGAAGGTGTTCGTGTTAATAGTGTTACTGGTGATGTTGATAGTCGTCTTTCTTGTTGTCATCCTTATCGTTGTAATGCTATTGGTGGTAATGCTGATGACCTTGTTGCTAAGACTCTTGATGCTACTCGTACTGGTGCTGATGAGGATGCTCAAATTAATATTCCTGATGGTGCTCCTCTTGGTCTTTGTGGTCAAAATGAGTATGTTACATACATATAATGTATTAATCAAACATATTAATATACTATACTATTTTCTTTTTAGGAAATTGGATATGCAAAAAAATTCGCCTAGCAACGGTGCCAGCAACTGTGATTAATAATACATTTTTTTATTTTTTATTTGTTATTAGTATAATAAAATAAATTTTTTGAATATATGACTGTAATAATCTATCAATTATTTAATATACTCAAAATAATATATTTATTTTATCGTAATCTTAAAAAAATGAAATTGTGAAGGTTTGTATAATACGTCAAGAACGATTTAGAAGAACTCAACGAATATAATCAATTTCAATCTTGTTTTTTGTACTTTCATAAAGTATATATTTGTTTTTATTTCAAATCAAAAAAGAGAATGAATCTTGCTCACACTTTAGGTGTAATTATATTTCACGAAAAAGTTTTTTCCTTTGTTTAAGTTTTGATTAAGTGCCTATACCAGGCATGATCTAAAACGAACCATAGGCAGAATTCATTGAATAAAATGTTAGCTCAATAATAAAATCACTTTTTCATTCTTCAGATTTCAGAGTATTCTATCCTGAAACACTCGATTTACTCGAATTTTATTTAATCATTTGCAAAAATGAGTATATATGTTAGTAAAAGTCTGTCATACATATTTCGATTATGAACATTGTTTTGTCTTTATCAGAATGTAATTTGTGTCAACTAGAAAATGCATTAATTCATATTTAAAATCTATTTGATTCAAAAAAATGATGAAAATTTATTTATATTTTATCTAAGTCCCTGAAGCACATGGGAAGACTATAGTGTTAGTTGAAAGCTATATGATCAAAAAAATCGAGATATCTTAATATCTCTATATTGTGAAAATTTATATATACTACTCCAAGTTTTACATTCTTCCAAAAAATGTTGATTAATTTTCATTATCTGAAAATGCATTCAAAATTATGGATGACGATAAGGTGAATAAATTTCTTGAATATTGCTACAAAAAGACTAGCGTAAATAAAATACTACAATTAATTAAGACTTTTTATTTAATAAAATACAATAATTAATTCTTTAAATCGATGTCAGGTTTAAAATGAATTTAAAATTCTATCGAAAAAATTGTTTTAATATGTCGTTATAAAAACAATATTTGATTTTATCGATTGGCGATGTGCTATACATTCGAATAATCTATACACAATCGAATTAATCGAAAATATGTCACATCTATTGCTTATTCTTTTCGTTCTCTCATACTTCGCACGTTTTTCATCCTATGGTTTTTATAATATCACACGTGCTTCTAATACACACAGTTTATTTACAAGGAGTAATAATTAAGAAAATAATCTAATGTTTCAATCAGTGTATATGTAGTAAAAATCTTGAGTATGTGGGTGTGAATACTGTATTCAACTAGCACTCAAACCCACACCCACACCCTCATGCACTCGCGCCGAATGACTAGACCAACAACTCGATGCTATCTTGATGATCAGGATGTAAATGTAATTTTCGTATGTTTGAGTAAAAGGCAAGCTCATCCATATTTATACTCTACTTTGTAATACTCAGTAAATCAACCATCAAAATCGTCGTTAAATTTATTTTATTAGTAAACTATGTCTGTTTCAATATCTAAAAAAACTATAATAATGTGAAGTAAAGTTTTTGTTCGATTGAATATGCAACCATCATCGGACTTTTTTTTATAAATGATCATGGGATTCATCTAGTTTTCCAAATCAAAGGTCCAACGAAGATATATAGAAGAGTGAGGCTGAGCATAGCTGCCAGTATTATAGCACCAAAACGCCAATACCATTCACCTATTTTATAGAACGTGATGGCAAATAATTATGTAAAAGTATTCAAAATAGAACATGATTTTATACCAGCCTCTCCCATGCTTTACTATAGATTAGCTGTAAAAGTGTCTAGCGTGTTTATTCTAAATATCGTGGCCGCAAGGCAGTATAATTTCAACATCTCATTCAATATTCAAATAAATGTGCTCCGTATCATATGTTAGTATTTACAGTCATAGACTTTAATACATTTCTTCGTTAGCAGATGAAATCTAGAGCTTGGATAGCTGTACAGAAATAATATAAGAAACTGTTAGTCGCCATTTCAGTTATCTCCTCCCAAAAAAGCGAGGAAAGAAGGTTTTCAGTTGGTAATTAGATGTTGGTTTAGTGTACTTAATCTCGAAGTAATCATGCACAAAACAAGAAGGAATTTTTTAAAGTTGTATACACACTATCGTTTGATAGCGAACAAATCACTAAAAACTAAATAAAATAACAAGACTTGACAATGAGTCTAAGTTTTCCTCAATCCCTTCCAAATTTTATTCTGCCCCAACGAAATTTTTCTCTACAAACTAATTATTTTAGGCATAACATTATACTATTCTCAGAAAATAGCTGATCATATTTTCCGCGAAAGGACACTGCCTCGCTTTATTATCGCATACTCCTGAAATAATAGAAAATGAATACCTACTTTCTTTTTTTAACGTAAGCTCATTTTCGAGTTTGTAAACGGCGCACTTGAGTACGCTTAAATCCCCATACAGCCGTGCAATTGTGCCCGCTTGTCGTGTTACTTGGTCACTCATTTCTTCAATTTCTTTTTCGTCCGTAGCTATTTTAATCGCTCTCTGCCTATATTGTCTCAGCAACTGGTTAAATTCGAGATTTAGTTCATCGATCTGCTGTTTCAGTCGTTCGATCAACTCTTCGTTTGCATCAATTTGCGTGAAATGCTGCTTTGACTGATCTTGTAACTGGCTGATCTCTATCTCACGTATCAGTATCTCGCTCTTTTGTTGTTCTATCTGCTCCTTTAACTGCTGAATTTCACTATTAGAACTGCTTGCTTGAGCTTTGCGATGTTTAAGTTGTGCTTGTAATCGTGTATGCTTAACCCCATCTGCTTTTATTTGAGCTTCTGTTTGCTCCAGTTGTTCTCTCATATATGTAATCTCATCTTTCTTGGTCTCAATATGCATCTGTTGCTGATTTGTTTGTTCTTGTAATTGGTTTATCTTATTCTCGCGTATCTTCAGTTCGTTCTTTCGGTGTTCCACCTGCCTCTTTAATTTCTGAATTTCACTATTAGAACTGCTCTCCTGAGTCTCGCACTGTTTAAGTTGTGCTTGTAATTGTGTATTCTTAATTTCATCCGCTTTTATTTGAGCTTCTCTTTGTTCCAACTGTTCTCTCATTTGTCGATTCTTTACTTCATTTGCGTTTGTTTGAGCTTCTTGTTTTTTTTTGTTCTCTTTCATTTGTCGAATGACGCCTTCACCAGTTTTGATTCGAACTTCTTGTTGTTTGGATTGATCTTTTAGTTCTCGAATTTCAACTTCGTTAGCAGCTATCTGCGTCTTCTGCTGTTTCGTCTCCTCTTTTAGTTGAATGATCTGTTTTCCGCCTACATCAACTTCGTACTTTTGCAGCTCCAGTTGTTCTATAAGTTGATGGATCTCTTTCCCGCCTGCATCAACTTCACTCTTTCGTTGCTCCCATTGTTCTGTAAGTTGATGGATCTCAAACTCACTTCCATCGATTCTTATTCTCTGCTTTTTGTTTTGCTCTTTCAATCGCTCAGTTATATCATGAAGTATTTGAACCTTCGATTGATCAGTAGTGAATGTGCACGTGACTAGATGAGTGCTAACTTCATATAATGGTCCAGTCCAAGGACAATTGGCATCTACCGACGGACAGGGTATATCAACCTAAAATATTCATGCGTGTACAGTTTTCAAGATTTTCATTTCTGATAAGTTTAAAAAATTGTACTCGGAGATTTTTTTCATAGTTACCTTCTGATCACGAGCACACTGATTATCGACATATATAAGTAAGTTCCAATCCAGTTGTTCACTGTTTTCTTTACATATTCTGATTTCAGAAGATCCCGTGAGGTGCTTGAACTCTTCCATAACTTTCTTGATGTGATCGTTTAGTTGAGCAAGGTCATCTTCCACGTAATTATTCATGTCTTGCATCTCACGAAGCTGTTTAGTAACGCCGTAGAGACCATTATCTACATCCTGTGTTTTGTCATCCAAAATTTTAGCAGTTTGCCCACGTGTTTTTTCAGCCGTATACTGTATTTTATCAAGAGCATCAGTTTTCCATTGATCAATGTGAATGTAAAGAGCAGCTCGAAAGTCTGCAAGACTCTTTCTATCACTCACTACTTCTTGAAGACAATTTCGAGCTTCTATAACTTTCTCAAACTCTCCAGATAGCCATTGTCGATGATGTGCAAAATCCTTCGTACAGAAGAATGCTTTGCATCCTGCACAGTTGCATATTCCAGCTTCTTTGTGACACACAGAACACAGAATTTTTTGTTTCGGCATCTACTAACAAAGAAAGACATGCTTTAATAAGACTTTAAATAAGTATCCTCGAGAATTATGAACATTCAGTACACAAGAAATACCAACAATGATGCTAAAATTCTCCAAAGCAAACAATCAAATATAACAACACATTAAAGATAACGGAGAAAATATTACTACATGAGGCTTTATTATCAAATCGATATATATGATTCTCTTGATCCATTCTTCTCAATGAAAACTCTATGAAATAATAAGTCCGAATCTCTGGATATCTTATATCGAAGTCTTTATTGATGGACATTTAAGTGCAGCCAACAGTACGTTGTTCTGACTTCAGCTTAGTACAAATAAATTAGAGAGCGCACTCATATGGAGAGGAAAATATTACAAAAGAAAAGCAATAGTCATTAAAAAAACGACTGAAGTAGATGAAACTAAAGTGAAAGTGCCGATAATAATCTATTCACTAATGTGCATTCTATCCAAAAAGAGTCGTCCCTGAAGTCTGCTTAAAACAAGCAAACCGTTATTTTTATACAAGATGTGCAAAAACAATTGCATCGATGCCTGTTTTTTACTCATTTTTTACTTTAATGTCGATGACTTGCAATAAACTTCAAGTATTCTAGTTTTTATTTGCGAGATATTTTCGTTCTCTAAAATACAGCCACATATGCAAGCCGTTGCTTTTTCTTTCTATACAAAAAATACCTTAACGCTTTGTCTGCGTGAGAATTCAGACGAGAGAGAGAATAAATGCAA